CTCTTATCTTTGTTGAAAATATGTGTAGGCATATTAAAGCTTTTGGGCATTTTATTTGTGTTTGGTTGATTCATTTGCTGTTAGTGCCATATGTTGTGAATTGCATTTCATGCAATTCACAACATATGGAGTACACAGAGTTAGTCATCTTCACAAAAGTATTTTTATTTTGTTTAATTTTTTTTTGTCAGTCTTCTGATTTGTTGTATTATCCTGGCTTTGTACAGCACATTGAGATGCTCCTGTTTGACACCATGAAATGTGGGGTGGATTTTCCACATTTTTACAGATGGTTTTAGAGTTGTCAAAGGGGTAGGCATTATGGTGCTTTTTTGTAGCAGAGCCTGAACCGGGTTTTGCCTGGTCAGACGTGTGTGCACAAGTTAATGTGTTCTTTAAATTGCAGGCTTCGTGCCATTTCTTTCAAACCAATATAGCTGGAGTCTGAAAGCAGACTAGCTGGAAAATGATACTGACGGGTTTGAAAATGATACCGACTGGATGGCAATGAATGAAGGATTATACATTTACAAAGTTGGTAGTGTTGGTGTGTGGAATTTGGTGTGTCTGTGTGCTTTACTTTTCGATATGTTTAAATTGTTTGTCAAGGGTCATTTGCCCAGACTCCACTGAAAAAAAAGCTGAAAAATACCTATTACGTCTGCTTCTTTTATTTTTACAAATGTTACAATTAGTACACATTTGTCTCTTGCATAATGGATAAGCAGATTCATGACTATCTAATTTACTATAAAAGACTATAAAGTCCTTGGCATGTAAATGTACTACTGCTGTAGAGAGAAGCTGATCATGAGGCCTTCTGTGGCAGCCATTAATGTGCAGCCTTCTATGATGTCATCGTTGGTCAAGACCTCCGATTGGTGGACACAATCAGCTGTTGATGTGTAGTGGGGCGGAGCTGGGAGCCGGGTCTTGTGTGGACAACACAGCAGTCGTTTTTTGTTGGGCTGCTAACACGGCCCCATAGGAGCTTTGTCCCTCTTGATATTGAAACGAAAGCCCTGATGCTTTCTTTTTCAGTTTGCATGTGAAAGAGAAGAGAAGGAAGCATGTGTGCATAAGGCTATTTGGCTTGAGGTCACCTCATAGTTTTGTTTGTTCAAGACTAAAAAAGGTTCTGTTGCTTCAGGTAGGGCATTACTTGAAGCCTTGGAATTTATCTAGCTGCTCTTCTCTGGACAGATTACCAGGCAGCAATATCTTTCTGTAACATCTATGACCTAAATTGTATTCATTTTGTATCTCCCCAGATGGGGGAGTTGGGCTAAAGGATAACTGGCTGTCCCAGTCTGTGATAAAAATAATTCTGTGAAAAATTCATTTTAAGTCAAGAAATTGTGGCAGGATTCTGTTGGGCACTTCCCTCGTCTCACAGATTTTTGATTCTTATAGCTGTGGCCAGAAAGTCACAGTTCAGTTCTCACTATGTGAGGAAACATACAGAAATCTTACTCTAGCATTCTTCCTTATTGTTAGTATCCCATCTTGATTGTATCTTTATCCTAGTGTTTTAGCTGGAGAGAAAGTCCGTTTCCATCTGTCTACACATCTACAGGAACTAGGAACTTCTTTGTCTGCTTTGGTTTTTTAAGGATTACTGTCGAAAGGAAGAAAACTCTTCAACCTCCTACAGATGAGATGAGATCCCTTTGACTTGCCTAATTAAGTTGTAGAGCTTCATCTTAGCCATTTTTGGAAAAATCATCTAAACATTTTTGTGCTTAGTATTACTGTCAGATTACATATTATTAGCAAGCTGAAACTACTGTATGGGATCTTGATTTGGATGACTGATGAATCTGGTAGAACACTTACCTTATATTCAGGGTCTAACCATAGTGTGTTCCCAAAGCAGGACATAGTTGAAGTATTTTTCACTTAACTCTTTCAATAAAATGTTCAGTGCTGTTGGTTTACTTCTGAAGAAAGGTGATATTGTACTCTGTTATTTAATGTATTTTGTGAGGAGATATGATAAACAGTTTTTATTGTGTGAAAATTCGTATTTTTGAACCTTGAGTATATATCTGAATATACTGTTTGGAAAGGTGAGAAATGTAGTATGACATTTTATAAATGTGTTTTCATACATGCTGCACAATGAATGTTCTGCTTCAAAAATAATATAAATATCATAGAGCACTGAAGCCTATATTTATATAAAACCTAGTGGTGCAATATATAATTCAGTAGTAGTGTATTATACAGTAGATTATAGAAATGTCCTGTTTCTTGCTGAATTTATGCAACAACTGCTTTCCAAATTTTTGAAATTGTTTTATAATTAATGTTTTTATTCTGACAGAATAAGTCTGAATATATTAAGAAAATTATGATAAATACAAACATTTGTAAGCTATCACTTATATTTAACTGCACAAAGACTGACTGACAGTCCTTGCACAGTTGTAAACCAAGTATAATTAGGCCTGGATCAACTAAAATTAAATTCAGAGACTGCCAAAATGTTTGTGGAGATATATATATATATTTGCATGCTTAAATGATAGCTTGCAGTGTACTGAAAAAAGTCTGTGGTATTGCTGTCTTTAAATTGCTGTAGGACGTTTAACTGTTTATCCGGAACCTGAGTCTGTACATGGGGAGAATGAAATCCAGCAGAGCTTTTTCTTTGTCTTTTGAGTAGAATGAGAAAGTTTGTCCCAGCTTCCCATTTGCTGGTAGAGACAAGATGGAGCAGTGACACAGAATTTCGACTCTCCATGCGTACCACTGATTGTCTCAGCGCTGACCGCTTGCAAGGCCGATCTCAGTAATTATATCTATCCACCAGCAGCCAAAGTTTGGGCAGGTCAAAAATTTCAGGTCACAGAGGCTGAAATGAAGATTAACAGAGCATTTTTGACATTTATGTTTTTTTTTGTGGGTGGATGATGGAATCACTGAACTTCACCGGAGAACAATAACATACACTTCAGAAAGCTGATGCTTCTGATACACATACCTATAGAGAGAGACAGGGAGACAGGGAGAGACTGATAGAAACATCAAGGAACGATTTGGCAATGCCAGGCCATAACATCTGGCATCTTTGGCAGTGATGCTGCCCCTATAGAGGGTTATTTCTATGTATGCCTGATTTGCTAAATTTTATGTATACAGTACATTTTGTTGCACTGCGGTGATTGGTTGATTGGTTCTTTATTGGTTTCCTATCTAGTTTGTTTATTTTTTAGATGATAAGAGTAAAAAAAAAGCTCCTTGTTTAAGCAGCAAGCACAGGGTTCATCTGCTGTATATAAATGGCGTGAAAACAAAACAGTCTAGGAGCAGTCAAGGTACACCTGCCTGTCGGTGGAGGATTCAGCAGTCTCGCTGTCTGAAACAGTGACAGCTCCAGACGGCTCTCTGTGCTCATTAAATCAAACAAGGAAGGAGGTTCAAGACATTGTTTCCAGCACATTTCAAGTCCTTTATGATGGTGGAGCTGAGAATCCAGAGACTGTGAACAACATTGTAATGAGCCAGTGGCTTCACTTCGAGTATCTTCTCTCTCTTTTCTTTCCTCTTTATGTTTAATATATACAGATATATGTATCTTCCAAAGAACTTAAATACAACTATAAGAATAGTTATGTAAGAGCATGCATTTACAATGAATAATGAGTATGCATATTAGCTTCTGCCATACTTCAGCATTTGGAAGACAGAACTATTATGACTTCTAAGACTAAGGGTAACCTTTATATGTATATATGTATTATATAAAAAGAACAACTTAATCCCCTGCTGAAAAGCAGAAAGATATTCTCTTTTCTGTCCTCCTTACTTCACCCCTTGGTCTCAAGCTCCTGCCCTGCCTCATTTTCCCACCCACCCGCACGAAGAGGCTCCACAGCCCAAACGTTGTGTTTTCTCATCTTTCTTTTTACTTTCCCATTGGGAATTAACCTCTGCTTGCTCTTTTGCAGCACACGCAGTGACGTGTCTTTCCATACTACCCAGATATACCTGTTATATATAATATACAACATAAAGTACTAATGTGGAATAAAACACTGTATTTAATACTAAGGTGGAATTATAAGTTTTAAGATGGTTCTGTCTCCCTGTTGTTGTGCCATGGCAAAAACTCATTAATATTCATACTCATAATCCATATCCAATCCAATCCAGTGACTATATACACACACATTATTCTTCCAATGAGTTGTTACTTTTTTCCCAGTAGGTTATTATTTTAGACAAGCTCATCTTTCTAACCCCAACAACACACAGCAGTGGCTGGAGTCACTACCATACTAATCTGCTTGTTAAACACTTTGGACACCCTAGGACACCTCACAGTGATGCATGTTTACTCCTACATGCCTAGATCCTATTGGTCCTAGCAGTTTGGTGCAGCATCCCATATTACCTCAGAGATTCTCCATCAGGGTCTGGCTTTAAGATCCATTTCTGGGCGTGCAAGAAGTTGGTTTGCATTAAAAGAGCTGTGTACATGCATATTAACTGGTACTGTAGCAATATGGTAGTGACATATAGTCCTTGATTCCTGGACACCAATTATTTTAACTTTAAAACAAGAAATGTCTCTTTTTGTGAGCAAATATTGATTGTCTTTACTGGTTCCAGAAATTCCTATAGAGTTTGCCACTTGGTGCCATTACATTTAAATAATTGGAGATCCAGGGACAGGACACCCAGTTCTTCTAATCAAAGTGGACAGACTGTTGTTTTGGAGAAACAAGCTTTGCCAAAGGAATTTTCAAAAACATCTCTACTGTTGAAAGCTGTGTTAGCATGAAAGCTTAGGTCATCGTCTGTGTGAGGTTTTTTCGTTTTTTTCCCTTCAGTTCTCAGCCTAGTTGTCAATTTTTACGCCTTCAGAAACCATGATATGTGCAGTCTGACACACAGAGCTGCCAGAACAGTGCTGTAGGGAGCCATCCGGCTGGCTTGATACAGTAGGCCTTTGAGTTAGATGACAGTACTAACATGGGAAACTCTTTTTCCAGGCAGGCCTGATTCGCACTGATAATGGAGAGTTTTTCATTGAGCCCTTAGAGAAGGGGCAGCAGGAAGTGGAAGAGAAGGGGCGAGTTCACGTGGTGTACCGCAGGTCTGCCAGCAGAAGGGAATCCGGCAGCACAAGGGAGGACCTCCACAATGAAGGTAGGCCTGAAATATGGAATCATGAGACCAGCAGACAATGGCTGAATTCATTTCGTGCTTGCAGACTGGGAGGACAGCTATGCAGGAAAATACAGTGTCAAAGTTATTATACTTATTTGGTGTTGAAAGTCTATTGTGGTAAGTAAATATAGTCATAGCACACTAACATGTCCTTCAAAAACATTTTCAAAGACTTGGAATTCAGACAAGCTTACTGAAGTCTCTTATTTAAAAGTCTAAATAACAACAGAAGGGTCCGCACTTTATTAACAAAACTTTGTGGATATTTTATTTTTCAGCAATATTTTTGTTCTGCTTTTCTGCCAGTCATTGAAGAAATTCCATATCCAAACTCCATAAATGCACAACGTGCCTGAGAACTGTCACAATAGGAACTTGTATTTCAATTTAGCAGGCTCGCCCCAGTGCCAGTGGAGGTTTTGCAGACTGAAGGATATATGACTTTTCTCTCAGGAGCCGTTCCAGTCAGTGTACATAGGCAGGCCCCCTCCCCTTCACTGCCTCCACCATAACAACAGTATTACAGCTGCTGCAGTGCTCGGATCACCAGCTGGTAAAAATGAGGAATGCAAGGCGCCTGTGGATGTGCAGGGAAGTCTACAGCAAAAGAGGCCCGGGTGCACTGTAAATTCAATAGAGATTTTTTACTGAAAACAATACCCATAACATCTGGTACCAAGCAGTTTATTTCAGCATTACTTGTCGCTAGAAGAAGCTGCTGTGAGTTTTGGTAGATTTCAATTAAACTACCAGTTTTAATAATGTTCCTTAACACTATTTAAGAGTTACTGTATTTAAATTCACACATTAATTACTGTATATTTAAAGTCATTTTTGTGTTATGTACTGCAAAAATAGAAAATTAATTACTTAAAAGTATTTTTTGAATGCATCTGCTATTTAGTGTTTTTTACTTGATTAAATTTCCACCAATGAAATGCTAGGCTTTTATAATTTAGGACACCAGATAGATGGGACACAAAATAAGTGATAAATAATTTAAAAAGGATTTATAGTACATCACTGCATATTCTACCTGTGTGTAATATTGAGTTGGATTATACTTTATCGGTGTACCAACAAAAGGCTTAAAGAAGCCAGGATTATAATTTTATTGGATGACTTACTACCAGTACTGTGTGGTGAAACTGTACTTTACTGCATGTTTTGCATCTGCTGTTTTCTGTCACTGTACCAGTCTTAAATGTGGAAATCTTCAGATACAGTGACCACATTAGAGCACAGTACATCTTGGGTTTGAGACCTAAACTGCAATTGCAAATCTTTGATGTATCACAACTCCAGAAAATGGACAATTAACGACTTCTCCCACAGCGTCATCTCATGAGACACAAACCACATCCTTTTGCACAGCATTGAATTTGTGTTCGTTATTAAGGGAGGGTTTCTACAAATGATGCTGGTGCTACGTGAAGGAAAGTGTCCGTGTTAATAGGGCAGAAGATCATAGTGCGTATCCTGCTGTTCGGTAGTGACTCGAATGACACAGAGACAGCCTTTTGTGAAAATAATTAACATTTCTATTTTTAGGTAGCAGTAAATCAATCACTATTAACCACTGTTCATCCGTCATTACTTATCAATGTCAGTTAATATGTAGTTTTTCACACTACACAAGGGCAGTGCCATTGGGGTTTTCGAAGGATGTGAAAACATGTAAATACAGTACCTGCTCAGAGTCTTTTCCGTTGCTATCCCTGTGCATGACCTTCGACTTATATAGGGGATACTGGGTCCTGATGCTTCTATTTGCTTTACGTAGGTTGTTCTACATATCTATTAGCCTTGAAGCCTGGTAAAAGATAGCGGCTCAACGAGAGTCCTGTTAGGGCACCAAGGAAGAAGCTGGATGGGTAAATGCCAGTTAAGGGATTTAGGCTGGAATCTTTTTTAATTTATCATGTTAGGAATGCGGATGGCTGGTCTTATTTGCCAGACTCTCTTTTGATTTTCTGACCTTTTTATTTCAGCTGCCTGGCTTTCGATTTTGTGTCGTTTCTGTTGTTTGCATTATTGTCTGAATGTGCTTACGCTTTTGGTACTAAGTAGAGTAATGAAGTATTTGAACTACTTATCACTTAACAATCAGCTTCTTTCTCTGCTGGCATCAGCCAGACTCTCAATCCGCTGCCTGACATTCTCTCCTCTCATGGCTAGAATTTTAAAGAGGCACTACCACAAAACCCCAGTGCCTTGCTGAAGTTTTACATCCGAGCAGCTCTTATAAAATCCAGCCCTCTGTGGGAGAAACGTGGTGGAGCTTCCTCTTCTTTCAGTGGTTGGTTAGCAAGGGGCAGTTTGTTTAGATTTGGTGGAAAGTATTTCGGGTTTTATTTTTCTGGGTGAAAGCATGCTGTGGTCTTACACGAATACAGTTTTTTTTTCTGTTTGATAGCCACTTTGGAAAGTGGTAGTGTGCGAATATTTACTGTGGACAAAGAATGGTGTACAGTTCACTGCCTTGGCAGATCTCTCTAGCTCTGTGGTACTTAGGGATACCGAAACTGAAAATTTCTTAGGAAACAAACAATTAAACAAAAAGTAGATAAAAAAGCCCCCGAATTTTGTTATATTTGTATTTTGGATCATCCAGTACAATATTCTTTTTCTTTTAAAATATTGTAGTTGTTTTCCTGTTCATGACCAAAAGATTAAAAAAATCAGGTTCCTTGCTGTTATTTTGAAACTTGTCTCTGTCAATAGTTTGAATAGTCAATGGCTTCTCTTTAGTAATTCTTTTAGTACTTTGAGGGCTTTTTAAGCAGTACTGCAGTAATACATAGATGTATCAGTTTGTCTCACTATTTTTTAAACTTTCTATTAATATGTGTATATATTATATGCTCTAGTGCCCCCTTCGACCTTGGATTGAATAAAGTGGTTAGAAAATGGATGTGTACTTATTATAATAAAATATAATAAAAATAAATTCCATATTTTTTGAAAATCTGAAGACTTAAAATGCATTAAGTAACTATAAAATGCTTTGACATTACATTTTAATTTAACGCATTTAAGCGTTGGTTAAAAATTTGTCTCATACTTCATTTTAATTAATAAAAAAGTCCATTATTGTAAATCTTATATTTATCTTATGAGAACTAGAAGGCGGTCTCACATATGTTTTACTGATGATACTGTTAGAAAGCCAAAGCTTCTATTACAGTCCTTGAATGTGCAAATGAACTTGTGGAAAATCCGTGTCATGTCTATTGAGCAGTTATATACTGTATACTGTACATTGGCCTTCTGATTTTAAATATACAGTTTAAAATGTTATGATTTGTAATAAAGCTTAGATTATGGACATTAGCAAGCTGCTCTAATTGTCTGATATGAAAATTTCACCTAAAGCAGGTTAAATTACAGATGGGTGAATCATTGATATTTTCTTTCACTTACCTAATGTGGTGCACTACCCGTGTAAGCTGACACAGTGCTGTATACTTATTATACTGGCATTAATTGATTCTACATTTATTTGTAACATTTAGAAACTTTCAGTATTTAAAAGGAGACAGTTTTCTTGTATGATTGTATAAAACCATTTCTCATTTTCCATTTGTGTTCTAAAATTGTCATTATTACCTCAAGCAAAGCATGATAGATTCGTTGGTGTCACACAAAATAGAATATATTTTTTGAATAAAGCTTTTGCTTTTCATGGACACTATGATTCAGCAGGTCTACCAAATATGTGTGCTAATATGTTTTAGTGTGCGTGTTTGTCATGAAAAGCATGCTATTTTGTCTTGTTCCCAAACTGTTTCTCTTCAGTCCAGAAATGATGCTGCAGTGCAGTGGGCTGGAAAACGCAGATTCAGTTTCACTCTCATCGGCAGGGGGCCCAATGTCATTTCATGTAGCTTTATAACATGTAAAAAAAGTTGCGGGATACAACATTTTTTCCTACTGTGAAATAACTCCAAGAAGCTGTTTGCAACAAAAATATATGAGAGCTTAACCATATGTTTACTCTTACAGTGGTACACATTTGAATTTTACAGTTCCAGACATCTGAAACCAAAGTTTTTCAACATGAAGGCAGACAAGAATATTTACATACCATATACTGTCTCATTTATGATGAACACAGGCATTTATCACATCTGCATTGATTTGCATCAGTTTTTATACTTCTATTCTTGTGGAGAATGTACTGGACTGTCTGCAGTGTGTAGAAATACATTTGCTTATGAATCGCACATTCATATTATTTTCATGTAACCCTGAGTTGGGTGCAGTAATCTGCAGCTGGTATTATCCTAACTTTTAAACTAACTTTTAACAAATGAAGTTTTTGTGCCTGCTGGAGGATACTGTGAGAGTGAAGTCTTTAAATGTCATAAGTCTGCTGTAGCAGATTTATGGATAACATGCATAGCACAGTCAGTGAAAGACAGGAAATCTTTCTGACTTCCTTGATGTAGGGAAAGATTTGCAATATTGTCTTCCAGAACTATTCATATGGGTTTCTGATCCTCCAGTGACATGGTCTGACATGTTTTTTTTGTTGAATCTGAGAAAAGATTGTTTATTGATTTCCATCAGCCTATTCCACAAGCACAGGGCATGCACGCATACACAGGTACATTTAACCTAGCCAGCATGACTGCAGATGATAGTGAGGAAACCATAGTAGGTGGAGGACTAAATGTAAACATGCAGAGAACATGCAGAACCCACACGGAAGGAATCAAACTTTAGAAGATACTGATATTAAAATCTTTTTAAAGTCCATTATTTAACATATACTGATGGAAAAAAGAAATGCAACACCTCCTCCTCCATACTCTGGCCCTCCAGTCTGCGTGAAACAGGCTGAAGAGTGACTTGTCCGTGAAGAGGACCTGACGCCACTGCTGACGAGTCCACCGCAGCCTCTGTCTGGCCCAAGCCAGTCAGGTGTGACGTCTAGAAGGTGGGACCAGAGGGCCTCTGACAGGTCGCCTTGCTCTAAGGCCGGCAGCATGGAGCCTCACTGTCCTGTCACTAATGCGGGCATTGTGTCTGCCGGCAGTTTCAGCAGCAGTACAGGTGGCAGATCTGAAACGATCTGTCAGACGGACCAGTCTGATGTGCCGGTCCTGCTCTAGTGTGGTCACTCATGGGCGACCAGATATTGGATGGTCATCTGACCTCCCGGTCTGCTGATATCTTCTCTGCAGTCGGGACACAGCTGAGAGGCTTACTTCATAGTGACTGGCAACGCTGGCACATGACATGCCTGCCTGCAGCATGCCAGTGGCCCTCTCCCTTGCTTCTGGTGACATTCGAGGCATTATGGAATGTACAGAAAACTGACTAAGTGTGGCCTTTTGCAGTGACCTAAGCTTTGAATTAAGGCCCTTTTAAAGGTGTCCTGATCAGGCATTATTACACCTGGACCTCGCTGGGTAAAAGTGCACCTAACGAGCTTTCGTGTGATTGGCAAGTTGCAGTACCTCACTGCACAAGCTGTATTGCTAGTCTGAGGGCTTAAAACAAATTGACACCTTTTTGTGAAAGTACACAAGCTATAACTATTTTCATTTCATATTCCAATGTTGCGTTTCTTTTTTCCATCAGTATACATACTGTATAGTCTAAAATACAAATGTGTGACACCTAATTAGTTGGTGTTAAAAAGTGAATGTTAAGAACAGGATCAATTGCAGAAACATGATCGTATTTTGTATTGTACCTCTGTGTTTTCAACATTTTTTAAAATTAAATTAAATGAAAATATAATTAAAATTTAAATTGTGTAAATGAATGTTGATTTCTGTATTTATTTGCTAGCTATGCTGTATTTTATTAGTCACATTTAGTTTAAAGACACATGAAGCACAGTCAGTGAATTGTGAATAAAATATGAAGAAATTATTTCTGGAATGTAACAATACTGCCAAATGAAACTTAATCTCAAATCAAACATTAAAATACGGCATGTAAAATTTATTTTGTAATAGTCTAATACTAGTTTCTGTCATCTGCTCAATCTGGAACTTTAATTCTAAAATTAATTTTCCACATTTTCTGGGATTGTATCTTGGATTTTATACCAACTGAAATGCATTGCACTGCCTCATTTGTGTTGTGTATAGAGTATGGCATGTTGTCTTGTTTCTTGGCCCTAAGAGGATGAATTATTCAAGGAAGCAGATTGTGCCAAATGGTGTCAGACACAGAGTAAGCTCTTTCTTTGTTTTAATGCCAGATAGCATCTGTACTTTAGTAAAAACAAATGTAGCTTCTAACAGATAGGATGCTATAATTTAAAAACTCAGAAAAGACAGAGTGCAATCAGCTGCATAGGGCTATGTGCTGCTAATGTGTAACCTGGTTCTTCTGAAAAAATTAAGGAAGAAAGAAAACAAAAGGTAGAAATCAAGAAAATTTTAGAGATAAAATAGCAGCAGGAATAGTACGTTCTCCTTCATGTCTTAGTTTATTTTATTTGATTTTTACTACCACATGCGCTGAGATTCTTTGAAAGTTTGTGTTTCAGATGTTATGTACAGTATGTCACTTCATTAATTGTTATTTTTTGATTATTCACAAAGCTGTGTAGACAGATGAATAATGATGATAGTAATGCAGTAATATATGATTATGGTAAAATGTTGTGTCTTCCTCTGCTGCCGTTTTGTTTTTAATTTATATGTATACTTTGTGGGTAACATTTCAATGGAGAATTCTCAAAACACACTTATTTTTTCAATTCAGTGTTAAACAGTCTTGTGTCTGACAATGGCTTAAAATCACTTCTTAGCACACATACTATATGCTCTTAAATGAACTACATGGTTTTAAAATTATGTCCTGCTGCTTCAGTGTTATGTTTCAGTGCTAGATTTTGAATAATGATGATGAAAATGAAGATTTAGTAACATAGCAAGTCTGTTTTGTGCTTTGTCTACAATCTTTTTCAGTGCTGAATTTTAATAATAATAATAATAATAATAATAATAATAATGATGATGATGGTGATGATTCAGAAACTTAACAAATGTAACTGGTACTTCTCCTGCATTCTTTTTCAGTGCCGGATTTTGGAATCAGCGAACTTCCCAATACACTGGAGCTCATGGAGCGCAGACTGGGGGAGTCACATCGGAAACGGAGACATGCCAAAAAGGAAGACTACAACATCGAGGTGCTGCTTGCGGTCGACGATTCGGTAGTGCGATTCCATGGAAAGGAACATGTCCAAAACTATGTTCTCACGCTCATGAACATAGTAAGTTCATCATTTTTCATCTGAGACACCTATTGACTCCTATTCGTATGTTACAATTGTGTTTACAAATAAGCTCCCTTTCAATATATGTCTGTGGTAATTCCTTATTAATTAAGTGTTACACAATAACTAATGATTGATCCCCAAACTCCCACTGACTCCTCAGGTAACCATATTGCTTACTATAATTCACGAGGAATGACAGCAGCTGAAGATTGTGTAGCGGTAGAATCGTTTATTGGATTTAGTGAAAACTTGGGTTTAACCCACTTGGCCAATCTCTGGGCCATAGAACGGGGAGGCTGGGACCCCCAATGCGTGGGGCAAAGACGACCAAGGTGTAGCTGCAAAAATGGAGAGGGTTGGAAGAGGGATAAAAAAACGAGCGAGGAAGAGGAAAGGGGAAGTGTGGTACTGTATATATGGGAACTGAGGCGATTACGTAAGGATTAGTTGCGACTTACATCCGCTGAGCTTAGTTATTTCGGCTGCCTTCATGCCACCCCAACTTTCATTAGAACTCCATTAAGCAAATCAAAAACTACCAGATTCTCTGTCACTAAAGTTCTGTTTGTGCTCAGGGTCCTCGTCTCAGCCTTTTAAGTGGACCCGATGCATAATGTCAAAAAGCAGTTCTTTTCAGACAGACTGCATCTGTCTCATAAAATGAGGTTCTGGACCTCAAGACATATAAGGTGGTAGATCAGATCTAGATTTAGTCACACCCTGAAGAAATAGAAGGAAATAATTTCAGATAGCAGAAAGATTCATAGATTAAACAATGTGTCTTGCTTAAATAATCTGAAAGTATTATTTTGCGATTATAATAGCATTGCACAGAGCAAAGTTCTATTTGTCAGAAATAATCAGTTGAATTACACAAAGGTCACGTTAATTCACACTTTTTCAGCATTCCTTTAAATAAAGACCAACACATACAAACCTGCAATAACATTCTGGAACTAAACAGAAGGCATTGAGTCGTAGCATATGTCTCATTATAGTTAAGGTTGAAGAGCTCTCTGAAGACTGCGGGCAAATGGTTATTGACCTCCACCTGTTGGGGGATGGCTATAAAAAAATAAAAAAAAATCGAATCTTGACACTTTCCACTGTTCGCTGTCCATTATTAAGACATTTAAGCTTACTGCTATAGTGGCCACCCTGGCAGGAAGGGGGCGCAAGTGTATTGATATCACAGGGCTATGAAAAAAGTGGTTTAGGAGGCAAAAGCCAAATGCAGAAACTGAAGATCTCCGATACATAATGGCATCATCTGGACAAATAATTTTGAAAACCACTATTTATCGTTACATTTGTGAATGTGGCTATTATGGCCTGGTTGCAAGGAAGAAACCCCTTAAGAAGGTTAACCGCAAAAAGCCGCAACTACTACTCAGTGACAATTGGAGCCATATTTTGTGGCCAGATTAATTGAAAATCGATGTTTTTTTACCTACGTATCAGATTTTTGACACTCATTGCCTTTAAAAAATGTAACGCACAGTGAAAGAACACTCAGGCCTACTGTGAAATATGACAGGAGGTCTAGTATGATTTGAAGTTGTTTTGAAGCATCCTGGAACCCTTGTTGAAATAAGTGGGAATAATGAACTCCAACAAGCTTCAGGACGTTCTGTCCAAGCACCTTTTTTTTCTGCCAAGCATGGATGAAAATCTACATTCCAGCAGTTCTACAATCATCCAAATCAACAAAGAAATGGTTACCCTCACACAAAATACATGTTCTCGGATAACCTTCTGAAGCTGAATCCACTTGAACATTTATGGCTTGAACTCAAGAGGTTTTCAAATGGAAATGAATTGGTCTGAACGATGTTTCTAAGAGCAGTTCTGCCTGGTGGAATGATCACAAATACCCCTTCAGATGATGCCTTACAAGAGGCATCTTGTCAGTGTAAGCCCTGACAGAGGAGGATTTACTAAATAAACCTACAGAGGTAAATAAATGTAATCCTCTGGTTATTTGGGCTCAGATTAACTATTTATATGACTTTCGTCTGTGTAATGCTGTTAAGATTACAGTATAACATTTTTAGAATTCTTTTAATCTGTAAATCTTTCTGCTATATAATGAGTTTTATTCACAATTTATTAGGATATGAATAAATCTAGAGGGCACATCTGTGTGGTATTCAGACAACTAGGAGTTATAAAGTACCTCAAGGGTGTACGTAAAGTCTTTTAGTGTCAGTTGTTGTTCTGTCTGAGCTTTTCCCATGGTATTCACAACAGCTTGTGTTTTGATTTCCTTGTAAAGACTGTAATGATTTTTAGATGAGGTTCACTGTGCTGCGTACAAACCAAATCAAAAAGACAGATATAAAGTATAACCATGAAAATATCAGGTACATAGCATGCAACCTCTAAAATCCACAGAAAAAAAGTGGGTTGATCAATGTCTTGTGGTACAAACCATATGTTGTTGTTGCTAGAAATGTACTAGTGACAAACTGACTCCTTGAAATGGCTGCTAAAAAATGTTGTGTAGGTCTTATCAACCAAGCTTGGACATAACTAAAGAAAATGGCTGGTGAGCTGGGTGGCAATATAGTGCAGTGGTTAGCATGGCTGTCTTGTAGTACTGGGGCTCTGGGTTCAATTCCTGGGGTGCTGTCTGCATAGAGGTATGTTCTCCTGGTGAATACATGGATTTTCATGGGGTGAAAGTTGGAAATTTTGCCATAGTGTGTTTGTGTCTGTGTGTACTCTGCAATGGAATGGCAGTCCTGTCCAGGGTGTAGCTTGCCTTGTGCCTGTTGCTTGGTAGAATAGGCTCCAGCTTCCCCATGACCCTGTAGTGGAAGAGGCATTAAGGCAATTGATGGACGGTGATGAGTAATGATGCTGGTAACAGATATTTTGCAGTTAATGGATATGAGCAAAACAGTACATCTACTGTAGTATTGGAATACATTCCAGTTTTCAGAACTGTAAAGGTGAAAAGTATTTATTCTCAGTGACTGATGTTGCTGTCTTTGTCTCAGCATTAAGATTCAGTTCTGAATGTTCAGCTCTTTATGTTTATCTCAGCATGATTTTAAAAGGGTAAATTATAATCCTCATGGGATTACCTGTTGTCTGATTAAAGCTTGAAAAGGGAATATATAAAAAAGACAGTAGACAATAGTCTTAAGAATTATCTGTGCAATATGGCTGAAAGAAAATAAGAAGTTACTTTGTGTGTTTGGCACATAGGGTTAATATTGCGCTTGCAAATGTGCGGAATTCTGGGAAGACCAGCTGAGGGAATGACCCTGGCTAGCCAGTGTGATTGCATCTGTTGTATGAAAAAAAATTAAATCTGTGAGTCTATGCCAGCAGTAGAAAAAATACTGCCAACTGTTGTTAATCATAAATCATCTCACAGACCACACACCAGACACTAATGCCAATAGCTTAAGACATTCTGGGACTTGGCGTGTAATAAAGAAAGGGCTTATTTTTATGAGGAAAAGCCAGAACAGAAAGACATACAAAATAATTCATGATCAGATGTCTATAGACATCATCAAACTGCATCCTTCTCTATATTCTTTATAACGCAATAGCTCATGATGGCTAGTAGGATAGGTGCCAATTCAATTGATTGTGATTTTCTAAGGCTTGATTACTGCCTTTTCTTTCAGCATGTTTTAAAGAATGTTAAAGAATAGCAACTAGTTTTGATTCTACAACTTTCTCAAACCATGCTGCTATATGTGTTACTGCTGCAGGTCTCTTTGAGTGACAGCAATAGAGAGGTATCAGCAGGGCTCATCGGTGCTTGGTCACGCTGAGTGAGCAGCCCAGCACAGATGGGATGGAGGGAGTGCGATAGTTTAGGGAAGAGTCCTGTATTGCAGTTGAACATCATGTGTTTAGAACAGGGGGTCCCATATCACTCTGGTTTGGGAAAAACATTAAAGCAAAGGATCAACACACTATGTCCATTCCAATTCTTAGATGACATTGAAAGAAATTAAAATATGTAATTACTGTAATGAAAAAACAATTGTCCCTGGGAGCAGTGTCAATAAATGCAATCAAGGCATATTTTCTAAATGAGAGCAAACATTTATCCGACACTCCTTTAAGACAGGGAGTTGTGGAAACCGAGATGGAGGATAAAATGAAATCCATTTTCTTTTTATAGATTTTGAGATATATTGGAATAACTGATTAGGTAACTACTGTATCCACATGCTTTCAGAAAAAAGGAATGTGTGATGCAGAATGACCTTTCTACAGTATATCAATTATGATCTGATTTCATCATTTCTTTTCAGCTCAGATTTCAATTAATAGAGAGTTGAGTGAACAATGTTTCTTGCTATGAGTTGCATCTTAGAAATGTTCATGAAATGAATCATGAATATGTGTTTTTCTGTTGAGCAGTGCACGAGTCTGTAATAGAATAAACAACAAGGAACACAGAAACCCTACATTCAAAATACATGTATTTATTTTCTTATTTTCAGTCATTGCAACAGGGCTCGCTCTAGCCTTATCCTGCTGTAACTGCTTATGGACTATTTAAAAATAAAATCTGCCTTTTCATCAAGGGTGCAGCCTGCTCCTGCCACCTTAATCAGATTACAAGGAGAAAAGTCTCTGAGTCAGATTTTTCACAGGGTGCTGGTTTCACTCTGTAACAGTTACGATTTGGCACCAACAGGGTGGTCTGATTAACCGCTTAAGGCCAATTACTGACTTGACCATGGGGAGTTTGTCTGGATGTATGGGGAGGGGCTGGAATTGGGGGAATGCGAAGCAGAACTGGACCACAAAGCAAGTGGTGTGATTATGCTGCTGGGGACGAAATGTGGAGCACATATTGGCAGAGAGATGTCAGTGGGTTCCTGCAGGGGCTATGTCAGCTAATCATCAGAGCAGCTGAAAGACCACAATTAAGATCCCTATCCTCTTCTGATTACTGTTGTCTGCTTCCCCTACATCTACCTGAAACAATTAGCAATTGTCAGTTTGAGGTTTTTCTT